GTATGAAATAGGAGTTTAAGCACCTTCATATTGAACCTATCAGGCTATGGAATGGACAGGGCTCAGAATATGCTGCAGTCCTAGAGGGGAGACCAAGGGGACAACATGGAATATTCCCTTGGGACAGGTTTTAGACTCTGGCACAAACACAGCTGCAAGTTAGAGGGCAGAGACACTCGAGTAACTGGAAAACTAGAAGCCACCATTTCTCTCTGTATTTACTAAACCAATATAATATCTTCACAGCAGCTGGCTGTCATATAAATCCTCTTTAAGGAATAATAGCTATACAGGGGGTCCATTTAAAAAAAAATAAATAACAGCTCCATCAGGGAGGCTTAGGGCTGGCTGTTACCGTGCAAGGCTCCACGGAGGAGCTCTCTGCAAGGCTGGGCAGGGCTCCTCGCTCCAGGGTTTTACCAGGGGTCGCAGCACCACAGAGCTGATCAGCTCCTGGGCCAAAGCGCTAGAGAGCAGCTGGATTTGGGGGGAGAGATTTTCTCCCTCTCAGATCAATGCGACTCACCAGAGAACAGCTAAATCATGTGCCCTCCTCCAGCAGCAAGCTGCTTGCTGCCCTCAGAGCTAGTGTCCTGATGCTAAATACTCAACAGGAGCATGAACAGGACGGCAGCACAGGATGGCATCCAGCAAGGCAGATCCCTGCTGCAGCTCTTTGAAGCACTTGTAATAGGCTGCTCAACCAGCAAAAAAGCTCCAGCAGCTTTTTCTTCCTGCCAGCTCCATCAACTCTAGGTAGGTTTTCATGGCCTTTACAATGCAAAACTTCTGTGAATACATTACAAAAAAAAAAGGAAAATAAACATCAAAAAAAAAAAAGTAAAGAATACACACCAACCTGAAAGGTAGTTGGTTAGTTGCAGCTCCAGGTCCTCCTGAAGGAGTAATGTGGTCATTTGCCTCTCCTTATTCCCAGTGTACCTGCCTTTAATTTAGCCTCTCGCAACAGTGCTTGGCATTATAGCACTAAGCTCTGATACAGCTGGGATGCTGCACTCTGAGGACACCCCTCCGACGTGTCCCCTTTGGTACAGGGGTGCCTTAGTTGAGGGATAAGTTGTCCCGTGAGTAGTGGAGCTGCATCCTACTCTCCCCTGCATTGGGAAACCCCTTAGCAGCCTCGCTCCCCTTTTCCTTGCAGCAGGTCAGGCTGGGACGACTGTGCCAGCTGTGACCTGTGCCCACTGGCTGGCCAGCAGCCCATGCTCGTTTGCTTGTGCTCAAGCCAAATTAAGCAGATAATTGCTGGGCTCTCGCTGTGGTCCTTCCTGTTGTAGCAATCTGGGTCATCCTGCTCTGCCTAAGATCTAAATTCATTAACATGTCTGAGCTCTCATCACTGCTCCTCTGTTTGGGTGGTGTTGGCCAGTGGGTTCAGAAGGTGCTGGGGAGAGGAGGGCAAGGCAGACAATACCAAGCCCTGAATCTTGCTTTTTATCTTCTCCAGCCACAGACGAGCCTCGTTTCCCAGCTGTTGTCAATCTACACACTGCTAACCTTTGCAGCACCATAAGCTGTGCTGGTAGCTGTCTTATCTCTTGGGCAATGCTGCAGGTGGTGACCCCAGCATCCAGTGATTACCAGCTCTCCCAATGACTGGGCCCAAACCCTGTGAGATGGTACTTGAATCTAGTGCATAGCTGTAGGTTCAGATTTATGCTTCACAATCTGCCTTCAAGCATAGTTGGCACAAATAACAGCACACTTGCAGGATTCTGGCTGGCTTTCTCCTGGCGAGATTTGATAAGCTATGTTCATAAAATGTGACCCAGTCTGCACCTGCTGACCTTGGCCCCCAGGCTTGCAACATTTCAAATTAACACAGGCTTGCAGGTCTCCCACTGTCGTTTTCTTCTAAGAATCAATACATCATCCACCCAGCTCCTCTCGATGATCTTCATGTAATCAGCACACAGATTCCTGTTTGCATTTCTCACATATTTGCAGAGAAAGAGCCTGCTGTGTCAAAAAATGGAAAAGATCATCCATGGAAGAGGCAAATGAAAAATAGTTGCCTCTCCATGCAAAAGCTCCATATGTGCAATGGAGGGAAAAAAAAAAAAAAAAAAAAAAAAGCCTGGGTTGCTCACTATGAAGCAACCAACTCTGATTCTTCCCTCTGAAATCTGCATGGCCTCACTCCTCCATGGGGAAACCAGCTCAATGACTATCCTGAAAGAAGGAATCCTAGTGATGAAGCTTAGTCCCAAGGGGAAGATACAGCAAGAACAACCATTTCTGGAGGAAGCTCTTTGCACAAGAACATCATCTATGTGCTTCCAAGTTGCCTCAGCTATCACTGGAAACATCCCCCATGAGGAAAAGCAAAGAAAATGTTACCTTCAAAACCTTTTAAAACAGAACTGTGAAGTTAGCCACCCTATGAGACTTCACTGAGTTTTATTTAGATGGGGAGTTTGATAATTTGATATTATTCTGCTGTGGACATTTTTAAGATAATAAAATGAGCCAGCAAACAGCGGGTAGTCAAATAAAGGGCCCATTTCAAATGCAAGTTCATTTACTAATGTGCTTAAAGATTAACTCCAAGGAGGGCAGTTTGAGATATGCTGAATTCCTCTTTCCCTTTCAAAACCCATCAGATCTTCGCTATGGAGCATTTTGTCGTGCACTTTCACAAATAACGATGTCACCTGCTTGAATGTCCCATCTCTGCTATCAAATGTTCAGATTTGTTTGCAATATGATTGAACTCAATTTTAGTTCCAGCATATATTTATTTAATGCTTAAAGTGTTTGCTGTAGGTAGATATGTTGTTGTAATTCTCTATTTTTACAGCCTACTTAGGTTTTCACCTTGATCATTAGAAACCACACAGCAGAACAGATGGCTAATTGATGCCACGTAATTTAGCTTTATCACAGCATTTTCTCTGCTTCTTTCTTTTTGGGAGGTGCATCTTCCTGCAAGTATCTTTGTACACATGAAATCTACTTTCAAATGTAAATACCACTAGAAAACATGTAATAATTTTGCAGCTGAAAATCCACAACTACATCATCAGGCAATGGCCTTGGAATTAAATGTTTTCCCATAAAGTTCTCACTTGATAAAATGCTACTGAATTTCCATGCTTGGGAAATCTCATCATGCAAGTAGGCAGCCATGAGATTTTTCTGGGTCTGCTTTCCAAGGTTGGCTAATCACACAATTTTAATAGCAATAAATCACTATTTCAGCAAACGGCTGTCTCTTCAGGAGAGATATGCAACTCCCTATCACAAAGGTTTGCATTTATCATGTTTATTAATAGATGTGCTCCACAGCTTTGTCTTGCTTTGCGTACTGCAAACAGTGACTCGGCCACCCTGCTGTGGACACACAAACATTATTAACAGGGCCCTATTCTGCCACATCTAGACAGATTATGGACAAGTGATAAGGAAGTATTTGCATGTGAGCAAGCCCCTCAGAAGCACTTGAGAGGAGATCATATTTTCCTCGCAAATTAGATATGTCATTTTCACTAGAAAAGGTCTAAAATTCAGGAAGTATATCACTATGTGTGCAAGACATAGAAAACATGAGTTATTTGCATTCCTGGAGGTATTTTGTTCCATCAATAACTGGGACATGCCAAGATGCCTACAAAGGTGTGCTTGGAGTCTTGCACTGAAAACATGTGAAAGTGCAGCTATTGATCAATGGAATTAAACAGGGATAGCCTGTGAATATCCTCCAATCTCCCAAAGAACCTCAGGTTTTCATAGCGGACTGTTCATGGCACAACGAAGTGAAACATATCTGTGCTTTGTGGCAACAGGCAAACCTGACCATTCCCCAAATTACACTGTTAACGTGGGACCCCTTGCATGAAGACATCTGGCTCCACGGTTATTTCTATATTGCAGGGGCTGCACTGCAAAAGAGAAACCAGATGATGGTGGTCAGGTCCCAGAAAGACCTATACATGGTTGCTTCCAGTGTCCCTCTCTTTGCAAGCCTGAAAAGAGTGAACAGCAGGAGAAGACCTACAAAATACTAGTAAACAAGGCTTCCCAGGAGGGAGACAGACTCTCCTCCTTTCCCCTCCTACTCTCTCTGCATGAAGGCAAATTTAGCAGTGAGCCAAAACTTACAGCTTTAATTATGAACTTTAGCCCAAGCAGTCGCTCTGTAAATATTCTCACTGGGGAAACACAGATTGGAGCTCCGGTGTATGCAACGAGGTGTACAACTGTGTCTTCAGCTAATTGTATAGAGTCCTGCTCCTTCATTAAGCTGATTTCATGTGAAGGGATTTTATCTTTCTACCTACTGCTGGGGACAGGCAAAAAAAAAAAAGAGGGATGGAAATGTAGTCTCAATCTGTCTTTTTCTTTGCTATCTAATAAAACAACAAAAATTAGCTTTAGCAGCAGAGATGAGCTTCCTTCTAGCTCACACACCTTAATTAAGCATGCTGAGCTCTGGCTGGTAGCAAACCCAAAATGTTTTACACTGTTAAAATCTGTTCATGTTGTTGTTTTGCTTCCCAGTCATGCTAATCCTTACACATAGCAGATCAGGACTTCCAGCAACAGTCCAATGATAACAGTGGGCCACCATAGAGAAAGCTCCTTGCTCATTTCGGAGAGCACATTTCAGGCAGGAAATTAGAGATATTTTTGTAAAATAATGAATCTTATCATTGCCATCTCACCACTTGTGAATCATTTTGCAGAAGTGCACTGCAGACCTCTGCTGCGGTACCCACAGGTCTCTATCACAATAAAATCCATTGGAGATATGCATCTCCAATAAACACTCTAGATGATGCAGATTTGTCATTGAAGGGATAAGCCAGCTCTGAGGCTGTCCCAGTGCCTCCTTGCAGCACTCCATAATTCCAGCCTTAGATGGGGGCTGGAGCAAGTTCACTGCAGACTGTGGTTCTGCAGACAGAGGAGTCAAATTGGGAACTCAAGCCATCTGGAAGCTCTTTATGGCATTGCACATGTAGCTTCTTTAATGAAATACTAAGTTTTCCTCCATGCAAGGGTAAGTCTCATTCTATAAGGGTGTAATGCTGTCAGGAGATTACACTATGATTTTGCAGAATTTAATGGCAGGATGCTTTAATTCCCTTTTGCAAAAGGCTTGAGAGATGTCAAAAGCTCAGGAAAAAGGAAAGAGAAGCTGCTCAGAGACATAAAACCCAGGTAGAGCACCCAGCCTGTCCAGGACAGAGAGCTTCAGAAAAGCCAGTACTGAGGGTCAAACAAACTAGTACCTGAACCAGCCATGCCAGAACACAGTAGGGTCACAGTTTTTGAAACATTTTTCATCACATCTATTATTCATCATGCTCTACAGAAAGGGGACTTGCCATTCTCCATGGAGTCTAGGTTGGCCAAACCAATGTGTATCTGCTCCCCAGCACGGAGGTAGAAAGGAGCATTTTCACTCCATAAAGATGGCATGTTGAGAGGTTTCATTATGTCACAGCTTTGCTAATAGATTGTTCTTGTCATTGGGGTCTAACAAAATGCATTACCCTTCTGGCATTTGCTGTTCAGCAGCAAGTACAAATTTTAACTCCACTAGCTTCATCTGAGGGTCCAGCATGTTGATTTGGTCAGAGGCTAAAAAGCTTAGATTTTCCTCCAGAAAGATTGAATTTGATTTTTTTCCATAAGAAGGCATTTGCAACTGAGCAGTCCTTTTAAACTATACTTCTTTTTTATATGAAAGAACTTAAAATTAGAAAACATTCAATCAAATCAGCATTCCTGAAATCACAGCACAGGAGATAATAAAAGTACCTTCCCGTCTTGTGTGGTCCAAGAAAGGACTTCCAGAACTTTTGAAGTCTTTGTTCTTTGTCTGCTCTGCCCTTGCTCATCCCAAATGTTCTTTTTACTGTTCTTTGGAGACTCTCAGTTTTATGTTTTAATTATTGATTCCACTCAACAGCTAGCTCCTAGCTGGTGTTTGTGGCCTGTCTCACCAAAGTTCAGCAAGAGAGGTGGTATTTTCAACAATATACTTTAAGGCTTATATCACTTCTTTATGCCCATTTTGATGGCAGCTCCATTACACCGAAGATGGCTGCAAATATGGTTCAATCTTGAACTATTCCTGTTTTCTGAAGGTCACACATCCCTGTTCATCTCAGACTATCCTAAATACTCTTAGATTAAAATTCACCTCTATGATGCCACCCTGCAATGGCTGCAGTCAGAAAAGGGCCCATGAGCACTGCTACTACTGACACTGACAGAAAGTTACCTTCAGCCCAACTGATATAGCCACTGTCTTTAACCCATTGGTCCTTGGATCAAAAGCTTTGCAAAATTTTTCTCTCATTTCTCCCAGTGCCTGCTACCAAAATACCTGTCTTCCCTGCAGGCTGAATTTACTGCTGGGACCCTGCTTATTTATGCACTCAATGGTTTTAAATATCAGCACTAATGTATTTGTAAAGAGCTCATATTTGGACATGAGAGTGATCAGCAGACTGTATCTACACTGGTAACTCCACCATACCTAGGAAGAAGCAATCTGCTTTGCAGAGACCAAACTGTATCCGTGCTAACAAATGTCATTTGCTGCTAGTGAGGGTGGAGGTTCAGAGAAACCCAGAGAAACCCCAGAAGGCTCTTAAATTTACTAGTGCACTTATTACCAGCAAAAAATGGGCATTAGAAGAGTCTATGAAAGAGCTCTTAAGATTCTTCAAATAGTCACCTTTACCTCCCCCACAGATAAATACATACATATACCTCCACTCAAATAGTCACCTTTACCTCCCCCACAGATAAATACATACATATACCTCCACTCTCAGCCCCTCTCTGGAGAGCTGGCATGAAAATGAGTACAAATGTTGTACTTCCTTTACTAGGAAAATTATCTGGAAGAAATATTGTATTAACTAGAGTTCACTAATGCACAGCCAAAAGCTGTCATTAAGTGATACATCATGCATTAAAGATAAAGTTATGGACTCTAAAACAGATTTGGTAAAGGAAAATTTAACTTACAATAAATTATCTATGGAAATAACTCACCTAAACAGTGACTTAATTCATTAAGATTGCTGCTATTATAATAAATAGCAGATAAATTCATAATTGTACAGCATTTATCTTGGGTTAATGGCTGGTAGGAAGGTTACTACATCAGCTTTATCCTCTGGTTGCTGTAGATGGGAATATTCTCTGGGCTGGCTTGCAGCCTGGCTTCATCCTGCTGAACAGGTATCGCTGAGCCCTCCTGCAGTGTGACCAACATCAGGACCATACGGTAGCTCAGCATCCACCCAGTGCTCTTATATCCCGCACACAAGGTCAAGGGACAAAAACAGCTTATTTTTGATTGCTCTGGCCAGAATCTATAAGGCAGTGTATAGCTCAATGCTACCTGTTCCTCCTCCTGTGACTGTGGGGAACCCCCCACCTTCCCACCTACTTTCTTCTCAGCAAAATTCAGCAACCTGTGTCCTTTGGCACCTCTTCCACTTTCATCACAGCAGAGCCTGCAATTGAGCCTGGTCTTAGTGGTGCTGGTCCCTTCTGCAGAGTTTACCTGTGAAGAGAAGGCCAAAAAAAGGCTTTTATCTCAGGTTCATGTATATAGCCTAAGGCTTCCAAGTTATCTGTAGAAAACATAGGGTCGATGTGTCCTGTCTCTCACCAGTGCTGGCTATGGGATGGACTGTGCAAAGTTTTGCTTGGATTCTTCCAAAAAAATGTGACCCAAGGGCTTGGGATGGGGGAGAGCTGTGGTCAGCTACCTGGCCCTTGACAGGAGAGCACAAAGCAGCCAGAACAACAGCCGTCTTTCATTCCAGCATCAGGGCTCTTCTGGTTCTATTTAAACTGGAAAGGCAAGAACACTTGGGAAGTGGCCAAAGTTAATGCTGTAGTCACTGACAAGGTAAAACATGCCTTGAAAAGATGCACAGCTCTCCTCTTACAAAGGCCACAGCATCACTTTGTAGCTGAAGCTAAACATTTCCACCAAGCTGCTCTGGAGAGCATGGATTGCTCTTGTTCCTGCCTGCAGATATTCAGGAGAGATTTGCCACCCAACACAAGTGCTTACCTTGCTGCTGGAGATGTGGGGATAGGTTGACCACTCTGCATGGTGTGATTGCCCTCCACACGGCAACCCACAGCAGCAGTTTGCCAAATTCTAGTGATACTGTTCAGATGTATTTCTTCATGAGAAATGGCAGCCTGTAAATAGGCAGAGCAGTTAGCCAATAGTAATAAATAAAATTCCTATAAATTTTCCTATACAATTAGCATAAATAAAAATATTTATAGAAATAAATTCCTTCTTAACCAGAAAATGAGAAAAAAGGTACCCATGAGTGATGAGGCTGTTCTTTTCTCAAAAATATCACCAAGAAAAAAGCCAAACAAGAAGTTTATGGAGACAGATGCACACTCTGAAATTTATTGATATATCAGAGGTTCTTCCATGATGATTTGACAACTTGTATTTAACCCTTAAGTCTGTCAGCCCACATATTATAAAAAGATATAACTCTATACCCACATAATGCTTTATTTCCTCCTACTTTAGCCTCCTGCTCCTAATGAGAATGGAATCTCCTACTTGCTTTGAGATCCAAGGACCTTGAAGATCCAGACTTTGAGTGTTCAGAACTTAAATTTTATGTAAAAATAAAACAAGCGACTCTGAGCTGCCATGTCTGCTCTTATTGACCATACAAAGGCATTTTAGAATTAAGGTTAAGAACAAAACATATCTAGGGATGTTTTTGGCACTGCTTGCTTTCAGTGCATCTATTCATTAGCTCTTTATATGCTCTATTCTGTCACTGAATGAGATCAGTGTTTGCAAAGATGGGACTTACCAGTAAGCAACTCTGCTTCCTCTCTTCTGTGCCTCATTAGTTTTTGCTCTTGGCATGTCAATAAAATGTTATCTCCCAGATAAGTCGATCACACTGTGCTATTGTCTTGACTTGTGCAATAACATTTGGTCTCTTTTTTAATGGGAAATCATGTCAACTAGAAAGGGTACCTTCTAAAGCACAATTAAATTATCTCCTTGGAGGTACTGCGGGGATGTTTGATCTGCAGCAGAGCCTTCCACAGACAGGAACATAGAAGAGGCATGAGGCATCTCAGGATGGAATCAAGTCTTCCGAACATGGGGTTTCAGAGAGGTCCATGGCATGGTAGAAACTTGAACATGTCCTTGGTCCATCCTGGACAGGCAGGTTTGGGATGGGAATATAGCTGAAAGGCACTTGAGGCTTACAATGGTCCATGCACCAGCAGGCAGGAGCTCTGTGCCACTTGTGACACCTGTGCAGGAGGTTGCTGGTCTTGCAGGGCTCTGCCCAAAGCACCACTGAGGTTGTGCAGGGGGCAGCTGGAGTCTCAGTGACATGAAGGACTGGAACCAAATATTGACAGTGCAGGGCTGGAGTGTGCACACTTTGTCCAGGGTATTTGGATCAATATTTCTCAGCAGCTACACAAAGGTGCCAAGGGCCTTAACGAGCATGGGAAGTGTTATTGGCTCCTCTCCTGCAGGCTGCAGGAATCCTAGTTTATTCATCATTGCTCATGCTCAATAGTCACTGCACTAAGCCCAAAGGAGCTACAGCTCCCTCCTCCAGCAGAAGAGGTCTGGATACAGCTCTTCATCACTGCACCAAGCACTTTGTAACGGGCTGTGCCATGCCAGGAGGGCTTGGAGACTGGGACTTGCAGGGTTTCCTCGCTCTCTGCTCTGGGGTGGGCATGGAGGGCTCTCGCTCCTGCTGAAATCCAGGTAATGTCTTCAAATAAAACTCCAAAACACACACTTTGCCTTGAAAAATCTGATGCTCCAAGATGGCTCTAGACCCACTCACATGGGGTGGCTGGGCAAGGTCTCTCCTATATGTCCAGGGGTCACATGCAGCAGAGTGATATAGATCTGGCTTAGAAGAGACCTGTCTCAAAAAAATCATATTTTCAAGCTGAGTTTTGAAAATATGCTGTCATCTGTATGAAGATGTGTCAGCAACCAGCAAAACCCACTTACACTTCCTTGCAGTTCTCTGCTGCTCCCATCCTGGCTCCAGTGCAAGCACACAACACACCAACAGTAGATGCAGGATCTCTTCTGCAAGCCTTGCAGTGATATGTGACTGTCAACATTAATACAGCAGGAGAAGCACCACAACCATCTGCAGCGCTGACAGGAACCAGGCTTGATCCATGAGAGCACTGTATATTTTCAGTAAGGATCTGAAAATCAGCTTAAAGAAAAAAAATTCATTTAATCTCCTTGCCTTTTTACCTGCTCCCCAGAATATGAATTTGGGCTTTGTTCCAGCTTTTATTTTGCTCAGCTCTTGAGCAGATGAAGTGATGGGGATCATCCCTCCAAGGAGGCATTTATGGCTCATGTGCAGGTAGTGCCACTGCTAGCAGAGCTGCAGTGTCAGTGTCCAGTGATCTCTGGAGCTGGTGGAAATGGCTCATCTCTTCCCTAGCAGAAGTGTCTTATATTCTCCACTGGGGAAATAAAAAAGGAGAATAACTGCATAAATTACCAGTGGAAACAATTTCTTCCCTGACAGTTCTCCCTGTCTCCTCTGCTCCTGGAGGAACAATATATACCAATTCTAATCAGGCTTGTCTGCTCGTGTCAGGAATTTCAACCAGATCAGGGATCAGAGAGGCTCCCTGATTTCAAACAGCCAGAAAATCTCCTGTCTGGCAGATTGTTCCCTGGTGGCACAGGCCCTTTACCCTCATTGATCAGAGGGAAAAGTTACTCATAGGCTTTATCTCATTACCTTGGCCTTCATTTTCATGAGTAATGTGGCCAAGGCTGCCTCCCACTGAGCACCCAGCTTACATTTTAACAAGTCTGGTTTTTCAGGTGGGAGGTGCTTGGTCCTGCCTGAAAATCAAACTGCTTTCCCCATGCTCAAGCAGGGCTCCCCACTCGCTCATGCAAAGCTGAGCACAACCATCTTCAGCATCACAGAGACCAAAGCTACAACAGAGGTTTGCAGTGCATTTTCAGTGCAGGAAAATAGGATCATGAAGGTTTCCTTTACAGATCTCCTATTCTAATCCAGAGGGAAACTTTTCACTTTTTCCTGCAAGTTAAGGGATTCCAGGAGCTTGCAGAATATCTTAAATATTACAAGCTCTGCAGAGTCAATGACTGTTATGTGTTTTAGCACCTGCAAAAATCACTCCCATCAGCAACTTGCCAAAGCAACAGAGTAGATAAACCTGATATTTTTGCATCTACTTAGTATGTGCTGTTAGGGAAACCAGCTGAGTCTTTCTAAAAGGTTCATGTTTCTTTGCAGAAAAAAAAACAGATGACAAAATCCTTTTCCTTGTAGATTAAAAAGCAAGCTAAGACACATCACTTCTCTCCTGCATAAAACATTCAATAGGGCCCAAGCTCATTTACTTTCCACAATTTTGGTATAAATCTCCATGCAACAAGTGCAGCTTGGAAAAATTCAACCAACCAATTAGAATACAGTAGTTGTGCTGTACTGTCCCCACCTCTGCACACCAGAGTGCATGGCAGAGTGTATCAAAAGCCATGATTTCTCTGAACAAACTCCAGCCTTGTCTCAAGTGAGGTGGAAGCAAGTGATCCCTCCGCCTCAGGTTGATGCAAAGCTGTCTTCCTTGGCATTGACATCCTAGAAGAGGCTTTGGGAGCCACATACCTTGAGACAGGAGAAAGGGGAAAAAATGGAAAAGAGACAAAGCTAATATGGAGTTGTTAGGGAAAAGTGTTGTCTGAGGTAAGAGGCTGGAGGGTGACTCAACCAGTTGGAGATGCAGTCACACATCAGGTGAGAATTCAGAATTCCACTTCCTTTTTCTGCTTGGGCACCACCTGCCGGCATGCAATTCAATTAGCACCAGCAGCCAGATATTAAACTCTGCAGTCACTGAGAATACACCAGGTTTTTCCAGATTAAGGCAGAGAAGACTTACCTTTTTTAATCACCTTGGGAATACCTTGTACCAGTGCTTAGTCACTATAAATGTATCCCTTTGTGCACCTCATGTTCTTGAGATTGTTGCAGAGAGCTCTTAGGAAGAACATTTTTCTCTGCCTTTCTGGCTGCTGACAGCAGGCAAGAAGAGTTGGCAGGGGCTGGAGTCCTCTGGCACGAGCATGAAGGCTCCTCGACAAATGCAACCACTACCTTTTCATCCTGGTAGCTAAATGCATCGGTACAGAACTGAGGTGGTCACTGGACCAGCTCTGCATCCTGCTGATAGCTGGTGAGGGCACCTTGCATTGAGAGGAGGACAAAAACTTCATCCCTCTGGTACTAATTTTGGGGCTATTGTAGAATCTATAACTGGAGTTTGAGGGAATCAACATTCCCACTGTAAGGCAGCTTATACCAAGGACACATGCTACAAGGTGCACACATTTCCTTGGAAGCAGTTGTCACCTACCTGCATGGTTTGGCATTATGACAACTGCTGGCCTCCAAATTCATACCTCCTGTCACCCAAGTTCTTCTGAAAGGAGCCTCCAACCTCTCTAAGGCTGCAGTTTAATCAACCATTTTGATGAGCAGGGCCATATTGGAGATACCTTGCCAAGCATGAGCAGCCCTTCCTTCCTAAGAGCCTCCATGGGCCTCCAAGATCACAGCTGAAAAAAAAAAGCAGGATTGAAAGAAAAGCCCTTAGAGGCAAGAGCAAAGCACACAACTTGCCCCAGGGTCACTTAACCTTCTATAATCCCCAAAGTTAAAAGAATTTGGCTGAAAACAATTCACCTGAACAGCCCAGAAATTGATGCAGGCTGCAGTAAGAGTTCAGCTGGGGAACTAGTGGGCTATTCCCAGCCCGCACCCAAGGTGGGAGAATATAGATAAGGAAAGGGCTTTTTACCCTGGACACTAAAACCCCCTCATGATACACATGTGGACAGTAGGATAAGACATGGCACATGGTATCTTACATGCATCCCATGATGCTTCTTACTCAGCTTTTGGCCAAGAGCTTCGCAGCTGGACCCAGACATACTGTTCAGTTTCTACTGAGAAAAAGGATAACTACAGCTTGGATGTGCAAAGTTGGGAGGAAGCAAGAAGTGACATCCAAATTCCTCATTGCTTGCAAGATGTGTGTACACTACAGGAGGAAACAAGCCAAAAAATAAAATATTAAAAACTTTACTTGCAAGAAGTTACACCACAAGTGAAAAAGCTCCTATCTTTTTTTGCTAGCAATCCACTGTCAAAGGCTTGTGGTCTTGTCTGACAGCACTGTGGGAAAGTGCCACGTCAGGTGGTGCTGGGAAGCCCACTGGAGACATATGGGAGCACTTATAGAATATCTGCCATTAGTTATCTGGCTGCATAATAGTGTGAAGCTGAGACAGCATTGCTTTTGGGGGCCCTAATCTTGCTGTAGCCAAGAAAATGCAGAGATGTATGCTACAGCATCAAGATACACAAGAATATCTCCCCAAAACAAATGGGCCTCCAAACCACAGACAGGCTGAAGTTACCCCACCATAGCCACCAGCCTGCATGACCAGGGCATATAAAAATACACATAAAACACCTAAAACAACAATGCTTAGAGAAGGTCCTGCAGCACACAAAGCTTTGCTGGATGCCTTAGGCAAATGTAGTCCCTTTCCCCAGGAGAGTCAGAGCTTTCAGCAGCATCTTCCCTGGGTGCCTCATAAGACATAAAGTCTTCTGTGAAAGTCTTCTGAGGTCTCTAAAAGATTGGAAGAAAGTTTTGATAGAATTTGTTTAAGGAATAAAACTCAAACAACATAGGAAAAAATACCATTTCTGAGAACTTTGCCTGAAGTGCAAACTTAAGGCAGGCAAAGCAGAAATGTTTCCTTCCTATCAGGCACAGGAAAACAAAGACAGGCATTTAAAGAGCAAGTTCTGGAAAGGATCTTGCAACACACAGGATGTGCACAGCTCCAAACACAATGTGTGCAGAGGGGATACAGCAGCAATCTGACACTGATGAAAGGATTTGCAGACTCTGCTGGTACCTGATGAAGGGGCTTCTGCTCTCTATGATTCAATGTTGTTTCAAGCTTGAAAACTTTTCTCCTATCTGTATGCAAAAGTGCCAGAAGAAGGATTTTTAGCATAGAAATCTTGAAAATTTCCTAGAACTCTTTAGCATCCAGAAAAACATGTATTTTCATGGCCTCCCTGCAGCAACAGCACATCTTCAGATCTCACAGAAGTGACCACAGGTTGGTTCTCAGTCAGCAAAACTCTAGTGGGAAAGGTCAAAAAAAAGGATAAGATGAAGTCATACCAGAAACCACATTTGAGATGAAAACAGCACCCACATTGAGGGATCTGGACTTCCCCTAGTCTTTCCAATTTCCTGTTGGTCTGACACAGCATAGATAGAAGCATCAAGATACCATATCCAACAGAGCTGCAAGTCCTAAGCTTTGCTTTTAGTCATTATTTAGACTATCTAGAGGGGAAGAAGTGCAGTCTCTGGCAAAGATCTTACAAGGACAACAGGAACTAGCAGGGATCTTGCCAGGACTGCCCACAAAGACCCTCGGAGCAGGAGCAGCCCCTTCACCAGGTGTGAGCCCTCCTTGCTTTGCCTGTAATGATTAACACAGACACATTCAACATGCCTCCAAGGCAGCATATAAAAAAGAGCAAGAAAGGATTTTAAACATGGTTTATTAGTAATAAGGCTTTCCCCATGTTGGCTCTGTACAACAATCTCTCCTCACACAAATTTCAAAGAGGGTTTTTACCCCAGTGAAAAGAACAGTGAAAGGCTCTTTTTTTTAAGCCTAAGCAATCAAAAAGCTCTTTGAAGCTCCAGGAGCCCTAGACATTGTCTAGAAACATCTGCTTCTATTTTTCTGCTATACTTTTCCTTGATGGGAAATGAAGCCGATCAAATTCTTGTTACAGAGGAGAGGAAGGAGAGTTTTATGCTGAAAGCCCCCAGTCCCAGGCCTTGCTCCTCCTGAGGCACCTGTGATCGTCAGCACTGCCAGGCTTCCAGAGGGGGCCCCTTTTGCAGGACACTGTTCTGACCTAGCAGAATTGCACCACCCATATTAGAAAGTGAAAACTTCCGTGGATCTTTCATTTAAAAGCATCTTATGGGGAAAAAATGCTTTTTTTTCCCCCTATTGAATAGCAGAAGCTCAAAGAAATGTCACAAACCGTGAGCATTACTTAGTACTCCATTCCCAGCAGGTCTGAGCCATCTTATCTACTGCATTTTGAAAAAGTTACATTAGGTTCCAAAAAACCACCCAGAACTAATTGAGCAGCTACCTTGCTGCTTCTCCCCAAAGATAACTGCTTAATATTAAAACCTGACAATCTTAAAGAAAAAATCAGCAAGTCTGCAGTCTCCTGCAATTCCAGAATTCCTGAGCTTCCTGCTTGGGCAACCATTTGCCAACATCTTCACCCCAGAGACTGACATTCAAACCCTTGGCCAGAGCAGGGAAATGGGGGCTCCCACATCCAGGGTAAGCCCTACAGCCACTAAAACAGACCACAACAGCTCTGGCCTTTTGGCACATCATTTTTAGCATTAGGCTTTGACAGCCGACCCCAGCCTAACTTTTAGCAGTTTTCATTTTTGAAATGGCAACTGGTTCTCTGTTCTCCATCTCTTCTCTTCTCAGGCAGCTGCAAATAGCCTTTAATCACAGTTCTGCTGATGGATGCAGCTTCTTTCTCCAAGGATACTTGCTTTAATTCTGTTGCATGGGGCAGCATGGGACATAAAGCAGAATAAGTCCTGAGCTCCAGTCCCAAAGAGTTGTCCTTCCTTCCCCAGCCCCCTGGTGTGCTTTCCTGGCCCTACACTGAGATTCCCTCCTGTTTTTAGGTTCATCAGGAAGCTCCTTCCTCTGGACTTCTGTTGAATCTGATAGGCAACATTTAAGTACACGATTTGTGGTATTTAACTTATTCAGGCAAATACAGTGAGGACATGAGAGGGGTTGGGAGAATTCAATATTAAATTTGCACTGAGCTTGACACTGGAAATCAGTGCATTCCCCATTTACCCACCTGATTTGTACCCTGTTAGCTTTAAGAGGGCTATTCACAACAACATTTCCCTATGGTAACATGGGGAGGAGGGACAAATTGGCATTCAAAAATGGATGCCCTTTATGCAGCAAGGAAGAGATGTGGGAGAAACATTTGGCAGCAAGACAAGAAGGTTTGAAGGATTTAATGCCCCCCCCCCCCCACAGCAGCACATGTGCACAGAGAAACACAGGGGAAATCAGTTTTAACACCAAAGCCTAGCTGGAAAGCAGCAATGCCAAAGCAGTCTATAATGCAGCAATAGCTGCATCTAGTGACAAGGAAAAGTAATGCTTCTCATTTGGGGAAAAGTTCTGTCTTCTTTTAGAACCACATTAAGCGATAGAATCAAACACTTCTCTCCTTGCTGCTCACTGTATTTGTCCTGCCTTAAGAAAACAGCATCTCACTAATATCACAATTCAGATTTTTTTAAACAGCACTAGTTTGGAAGGTGCCTTAGGAAAAGGCTGTAGTGATATAGGTATATTGAATCTGACTACCCTTGGAAACTTCAGAATAATTCAGAAACCTGATAAAATGAATGAGATACAGTGAAAAATGCTACTGCTCCCTGCAGAGCACTAACAGATGCAGAATTTAGGGAGCAGACCCAGTATCTGGGACAGAAAGACAACACAGACCATAGAAAGTTGCATGCACTGGGAAAAGATCAGCATGGAAAAGTATTAGGAAGGGATGGATCATCTGAACATAGTAAAGTCATCTGTCTCATTATTTAGCTAGAATAATGAGGAAAGTGAGAAACGTAGGAAGGGTGATGGGCTGGCAAATACATGAGCTACTTCAGAATGGAAACTGCCTTTGCAGGGCCATGGGTCTGGATGCACCTCTTCCTCAGAGGAGCTGATGAGCAGAAAGCTTGGATGCTCCTTGCTTTGTGAGCAGTGCCGGGAAGCCCAAGAGTAAAGAGAATGCAAGCCGGAAAGGATGCGACAGGTAAAGGCAGCAAATCATTCCATGGAAGAAAGCTGACAGAGGAAAAACATGCTCGGGTGGGATAAAAGCCAGAGACCATAAAGACCTCACTGGAGGGTGCATATACTGTGCTGGGAAGATTTGTAATGGGACATTGCATCAAGCACAGCCAGGCCTGTGAACACGCAGGCACTGGCAGAAAGCAGCAGGTTTCATTAGCAGCCTCATGCCAAGTGCTCACCTGAGGCTCTGCAACAAGCACATCACATGCCTGGAGAGGTGCCTCCAAGCCTTACTTGGCTTGTGCTACAGCCTCTGCAGCTCTGCATTCTGCTCAGAGCTAAGCAATCCCTGGCTACATTAAGATCCTCCTCTAAATCTTGACAATGAACTGACAACTCAATTCAAAAGCCAAGCTGCTTCCCTGATATGGGTCTTTCTAAACAGGTGGCAAAGCACATCGACCCACAGCATAATTCATTACCCTCATTTCAGAATATATGAGAAGTCAGGAATAAAGCCATGAAGTTCTGATTTGAAAAAGCTAATCAAGAACAAAATTTATTAACCAAGGGACAGATTGTTCAGTAAAATGTCGGAAGAAATAGTGTCATAACATCTAGTTCTGAGTCTTAGAACATGTAATGGCACTTACTTATCCAAGGTCTTCACTGAAAGTTAAAGAAATCTCTCCAGCTGAGGTACCCATACAATTTTTTAACATGCTGAGAGCCTGATGCAACTCTTGTGTTTAGAACATGGTATTGGTTAAATAGGAAAGTGCTTGAAACTAGACAGTGTCACACAGGGGCTCTCTCAGGAACATTCAGTAACAGTGAGCTCAGAGACTGAGGCCTAGGTACTACTCACTAGTAAACTTGCTAGCAAGTTACCTTTGGTTGACAGCAGGGCTGATTTGCAGCAGGATAGCACCCACAGTCATAAATATTATTCTTCTAGGATCTCCTTCCAAGCAAAAGTAGTCCATCCGAAAGCTGTCTGTGAATGTAAAGTGGAAGAAAATGAAGAGAACGGAACAAATGCACAAGAACAACTCACTCTTAACAGCAGCAGAGCTGGCTCGGATTAAGAGCTGAGCTTCTGGGAGCTCCTGAGCAAACTCAGGAGAGCTCCAGCTTCCCTTTCAGGCCTACACCATCAGGAGACATCAAGTCTCCCACCACATGAGCCCACAGCCAGTGCTATCCAAAGGGCTCACCTCCTTCCTACAGGGACCAAGACAGCAGCTTCCTTCACCTGATTTCCCCAGACCACAGTGCTCACAGCTGGTGCTCTCTGAGTAGGGCTGCAGACTGAGTGGCATGAGCATACAACTCACAAGCCCTAGTTAAGACAGGTTGGCATTTCTTCCTCTCTTCTCTGTTTTTGTGCTTAGTTTTTCTGTTCTGCTTTTCAGTGTTTTTCTGACCCCTACACAGGAGGGCTTGTCTCTGGCCTAACTGTCCTCAACACTTAATGCTCTAGGGCTACACCAATAGCTCTGGGCAGAAGTAACATTTGCTAGCAATCTAAGTATCTCTATTTTATCACTTACCTTCTCTTTTTCAAAGCATTTCTAAGGCACATTGTAATTGTTCCTCTAATATCTACCTTGTTAGCTCCACTAACAGCCACTCACCTGGCCATACATCCAATGCCTGATTAAGGCTCAAAGGCTCAGAAAGGGAGTATTTACTGTACTTCCCCCTACCTAGAAGAGCTGCTGCCTTTATAGAACTAAGTCAATGTTTATCAAGACATCCTGCTAGCCTTCCCTTATATCCTAGTCAGACACTCTGCCCTATAAACAGCTATCAGGTAGAACACACATAATCCAATTTGCAGTAAATGTAAGCAAAACATAAAGCAAGAAGGCTTCCTACCTGTTCTGCTTGACTTGTGCTCTCATTGCTCCCTAGATTTCACCTTCCTTTTCAGAACCCTTTCTTTCAACCCTGTAAACTCAGGAAACAGGTCCTAGAATTCATCCTTCTTCAAAGACTCTCCTCTACTGCTCTCTCTTCTACAAAAAGGGATCCCCACCTCCTCCTGCTCACCTTTTCAAGGAATTGCCCTGTCCCACCCAGCCAGCTTATTGGTCAACTTTGAATCTTCAATAATTGGGATCTGCTGAGAAGTGGAAGGAGTAAAGGCACAGAAACAGGTGAATCCACTTGCCCTGAGAGGACTTAGTAGTCTCAGCTGTGGCAGTTTCTGTTACAGACAAAAAGCATTATAAGGCCGAGGAGAGAACAGTGCAACCTTTTGTTTCTGGAACATAGAGTTGAAAATGCCTCAGGTAAGTTTTCAATATGCTTCTTTTTTGGCTAGTAGTGAAAAATAATTCAACAGGAGGAAGGAAAGGATTACTTTGTTTGTTTGTAGTGGTAGTGTGAATACAAGGGGAAGAGAAAGAAGAAGGAAAGAAAAAATGTAGTAGTGAATAGATCATAGGCTGGAGTTGTGCGCTGCTTTGTTTCTAGTATTGTTTTTAGTTCTTGAAGAGTAGGCTGCCTCACCTACAAATTTATTTCATAGAAGTTTATGAAAACAAATAGTCTTCAATTAAACCTAATTGGTCATTTTAGTTTGGGGTTGTATTTCATTGCTAGCATGAGACATCCACATAATATCTACATAATTCTATTTCTCTAACCTTATGGATATCCACTTAAACATAAAGATGAGTATAGGTGTCTGTCTCTGCAGTATCCTGTTAGCTCTTCAGGTCTGCCTACTGGGTGCCAAGAATTACACTTGTAGCAGTGTAAGTGCAAACTCTTGCAGCAATTTCTGTGTGAAGTATTTTGTGAGGGTTTTGACAAATACAAGCTTGTGCTCTGTGCTTCTTAGTGTTTTATATCAACAATTTCAGAAGAAGGCAAGTTGCAATGGTATTAGAGCCCTCTCTTCCCTCTATATTTGTTTTCTTATATTATCATTCTGAACTCTTACTAACTCCAAGGTCTGAAGTCACCAGTCAGCTTTCTTAACTACCTCAGTGCTGGGAATTACAGGTGTTGAGGACAAAGAGCTTCTCTGGGCCTTAGTATTAAGATGCTAAAAATAAGTGGATGAAAAGAAGAGAAAGGCCAGAAAAAAATGGTGATATCCTTCTTAGGTTGGTGGATGTGGTCTGTGTTGCCTCTTAGGTTCAATTGATACCTGGGTTTTCTGTGGTGAAAAGAAATGTTGGTGACAAACATGTCAAATAAGTTCTGTTCTTAAATCAATAAAACTCTTTTTCCCTGAAAGGTTTTTCTTGGCTTATGTCATATTACTAGTGTCAAGAGAAAGAAAATCATGTTTAGATGCCAATATATATTTGAGGAAAGCTCTTGTCTACATGTCAGTTCTGAGGTTTTTCTAGGTTTTTACATTTCTGAACAAAGCAGAAGTGAGAAGGTCATTGCTTTTAAGCCTTTCACATTACTGTAAAGGAAGGTTTTGCTGCTCTAATGCTGTGTTTTTGGCTGGCAGATAGTTTCCTTGGGCCTGCAAAGATGTTCAGATATATTTTCTTTTTTAATGTTGCAGTACACCAGGACAAGTGTGGAAATGAGGCTTTTCCTTTAAGAAAATATCAGAATATTTATTGCTTGGCCAGTCTTGTTCCTGTTGTGATGGAACTAGAAGAGACTGCTGTAGTAATTCTGGTGTTGCATTAAGCTAAACATAATAGGAAGGCTATAAGAGCTAAGAATGCCTCTGTCAGCCAGTATAATGCCAAGCTGCTTCTACAAATTAGCCAGGTCACAACATACATTTCTTCAGTAGAAATCAGTATCAGCTCAATGATAATATGCTCTATCCAGAAATTTGTGTCCTTTACTGAACTGCTTCTTTGTACTTTTATAGGTGAGGTAAATGGAGGTAGGGACAGTAACCACCCATCCTGCAGAGCAAGAAGCCAAATGCAAGTCTCCTTGGCATTTTTTTTGCAAAGAGGGAAACTTTCAAAGGTGTTGTGAGTTTGGCACCTAAAAAGCGTTTCCAATAATGGTAGGCAGGCTTTATAAATCTTCCCAAGCAAAACACCTGAGTGTGAACAACTGCAACAGCAGCAATAGAACTGAGTTGTACTGGAGGGAGAGTGGACTGTGATACTTGATGAGACCTTAAGTGTCTGTTTCAAACCCAAGTATGTATTGGTTTCCTCCATAAATGGCAGGCTTGCTGCAAGAATAGACATGTAGCTGTTCAGTGTCTATTGGAAAAGTTTTCCCTCTCCAGCAGCAAGAGCAGGAGACCCCACTCTCCCATGACCCAACCTTTTTGCTTTTCCCTTACCTTTTTGTGGCAGGAACAGCTCAGCCTTCATCATGGGGCAAAAAAAAATGCACTGTAGCCCTTTTCATGGGGCAGGTTTAATTTTTAATTGGCCTTCTCAGTCCATAAAGGATTTTCACAGAATTAAGGTTGGAAGGGACCTCTAGAGATCATCTAGTCCAACCTCTCTGCTCAAGCAGGGAAAGGAGTTGCTGCTTGGGTGTCTGAGATGTAAGAGAAATTTGAGGTTTATGCAGAATCTACTAGAGAGCATACTTTAAGTATGCTGAAGATAAAAGGCAGACACTCTAGAAATGGTTAAAGTGCACTGACATCTTCAGCCTGAGGATGTCTAGGGCCCTTACAACATTGTGAAATTGTGTCAGTAATCTGAAGAAATAAGATACCATTATGGCTACAGCATCAAAAGCAATATAATGACTTTTTTTCTGTCAGTAGGTTAAAGACTTTCTCTGCACTACAATGATTTCAGTGGAAGATGTGTATAATGAACCTGGTATGGCACAGTCTGTCACAGCTCATTCAATAACAGCAATAAAGTAGAACTGCCTGAGCGGTCCCTAATGCAATGTTTTTTTTTCTAGTTGAAAATGCTGTTATAGCAGACAGTAACATCAAAACCAAAGTGGGGGAATGGGAGGATTTGGGAAGGCACAAGAGATTTTGTAAGTCAAAGGGGGCCATCTCATAGATTTTTTTTTTCCTCTTTGAAGTTACTCTGAAAAGTAACAGAAAGAGAGGAGCATCTTGGTTTTCTGCTTTGAAATGAGTTAGAGCCAAAGGCAGGGAGCAGCTCTGGTCTTCCCTGTGGCAGAGTGGCCAGAGCACAGGAATCATCTCCCTCCTCAGGCAGTGTCTCTGGGAGACTGTCACTTGAACAGCCTAACTTTGCCAAAAGCTGCAGATCTGCCATGAAATGGCCAGTGCTGTGTTCAGAACAACCTGTGAGAGGTATTAAAATAACTCACTACTTAATCATAAGCCTGGTTCAGTTTTCTATCCTAATTCAAAAGGTAAGACATCATTTTGTGGTCTTCAGTCTCTCTTTCATCAGTAGTAGTGTTTTGGGCAATTAATTCTTTATGAAAATGTAAAATAGTGAACAAGTGATTGCATTTTTTTGCTCCTTCTCTGAAGGAGCTGCAGTCTGTCTTTAGGGCACTAGATGGTAGTCTCACTCCAGCAACATTTCAATGGGTCTTTGACATTGGAGTGACAGTAAATCACGGCTCTATTTCAATGGTGTTTGCTCCTTGAAACACTGGATTTGAGATGAATTGGCTGTAATATGGACATGCTAGTCCTTACTTTCCCAAATCTGGAGCAGAAGTATCACAGAATGATTAAGGTTGGAATGGACCTCTGGAGATCACTTGGTCCAAGAATGAGCAAGTGTCCTGTAAGTCTATGGAACTGTACCTTTCCAAGGGTAATATGTTGTTTATATATGAAAGGGTAAAGTATAACCTGTGAAGTCATGGGAATTTTAACATCTGTGATTATGCTTTACTTCAGTCAAAAAAAAAATCAAATACTTCCACACATTCATTGTTGTTAGGACTCTAATATGTTTTAAATTCAAGCCTCTGCTCAGAAGCAGTAGAAATTTAGACTTGCTTCTTCTATAGCCGATTTCCATTATTGCAAGAATTTCCTTTTCCACCTTTCTCTCTGCAAAGTAAGAAGTCTTCAAGGTTTACTTTACAGTTAAAATGGGTGTACTTACACAAAATAAAACCCAGATATACCATTAAACTTATAGGCCCTGAAAAATCCAATAACGGTGCTAAAGCAGAAGAACTGCAGTTGGCTTCATTCCCTGCTGGCCCATAGTCAGGTTACTTCAGATGTGCTGGTCAGGGAGGGAGCTTCTTCATTTTTTCTCTGAATCAAAGAAGTTTCATTTTGACCCCTGTGACTGCACAGCCATGCTCCTTCTTTAGTATAGATTTCCATGTGAGGTTATTTTAAAAAAGTGTGTGCAACATGGGTGTAAGTTGTTAATTGTGAGATATTGTAGAATGACTGAAAAATAAATCCAATTTTCATTCTGCTGAGAGAGTGGGAATAGAATGAAAGGAGAAATCAGGCACATATTACTAGTACCCCCAACCATTTCACAGTTTCAACAAATTGCAAACTAGTATTGATTTCTATACATAAGCTATAAAGAGAAAAGAATTACAAAACTTTTCAGCAGACTGAAAAGCCAATATCGACCAACCTAGAATGGCATTTAGGAGAGCAGTGCTTAGCTGATGAAAATAAATAGCAGTAAAATAGCTTTCACTTGTAATTTTTATCTAATATTGTATCAGGTCTGTAATCCTTTGCAAGTGTCATCTAATGCATCACCAGTGAATGGAGAAATGTGCAGAATTAATAAGGAAGGTGTCTGGATGCAGAATACCTAACAACCTGCAAGCTTCCAGTTTGATGGATCTTCCCCTAATGAAAGCACAAAACCTACTACTTCACAAAGGGAGTCTTATTCTGTAGTTTCAACAGAAGTAACACTTTGTTAAAGCACTCTGGTTCATACCACCAATTTGTCTCTATATGAGTGCAAATCTTCAGCCATGACATCATGTGGTTGTGCTATGGCACTTCACACAGGACAGGCTGCTGGACTGCAACCAAGGAGATTCCTATCAAATGCATTTTAGTGTTTCACTACCTTTCAAATACTTGAGACAGAAGGGAATAATGGATAGTAGATGGGTATC